CAGAATTTAACCTCTAATACAATTTCCTCCTCTGATCTTGAATTTTATTATTTGCAGTCCTTGGATCATACTGGCTAGTGTGCTTCTCCCTTGTGGCCTTAGTTGGCCCCTCTACTTAGATGGCTGCTTGTTTTAAGACCCCAGATCCTATTCTTTCTGATAGCTGGACACTATCTGATTTCTTCACCACACTTTGCTATAGCAGCCATATCTTCAGAAATCCCTTTATAAAGGTAAATATTGAACAGGGCTGTATCATAAAAATTGATTGATTTTAGGCTAGGGATTATGATTAAAGGCAAACTTAAAATCCAGTCATATACATAAGGTTTATATATATAGATTCCCTGTTCCACTTTAGTAGTGGCATTATCAGGTTTTTGAGAGATAATACAAGTAACCTCCATTGGGCCTTTGGTAAGTTCAATAATAGTGTCATTAAACTAATCAATGCTATAGGATTTAAAATACTATTGAGATAAAGGGCAGGGAATGATGTCAATTCAAGATTAAATAGTGGTGTAAGGTTAAGTGGTTGTGTCTTACACCGCAGGATTATACTATGAACATTTATTTAATGTCTGCTTTATAATTTTTAAGGAGTATGCAAGTTCAGTGTAGAAATTAGATTTTATATCATTTTGTTGTTGTTGTTGTTGTTGTTAGGTTCCTTCAAGGCAACTCTGAGGTTCAGCAAGCCTAGCTACAGCCGAAGTAAACACGGCCCAGTCTTGTGTCCTCCTCACACTTGTGCCAAGTTTGAGCCCACTGTTGCTGTGCCAGTCGGTGTCTTTGAGCATCTTCTTTTTCTTATCTGAGACCGTCTACCACACACGAGGATCCCTGGTGGCACAGTGGTTATGAGTCGGGCTGCTAACCACAAGGTCAGCAGTTCATAACCACTAGTTGCTCCCTGAGAGATAGATGAGGCTCTCTAGTCCTGTAAAGAGTTATGGTCTCAGAAACTCATAGGGGACAGTTCTACCCTGTCCTATAGGGTCACTATATGTTGGAATTGATTTGATGGTAATGAGGTTTGGGTTTCTGGAATTTAACCATGCAAGCAGCAGTTAAGAAAAGGCACCTTGGACAAATCTGAAAAATACCCCTTTAAGGTGTTAAAAAAAAAAGAAGCCATGGTATTTTCTATGGCCTCCTCTGCAAACAAAAGAGTGGGCAATGAATAAGGAAGGCTGAAGAAAAACCATTGTTGTTGACTTGGCAAAGTCCATTGCCTCAGTCATGGCCTGCCAGAAGAACAAGCAGCTATGCTTGGAAGGACAGCCAGAAGTGAGGATGGAAAGACTTCTTCTCGCATACATTGGGCATGTTTTTAGTAGGGACCCATCCCCGGAGAACGATATGACACTGGGAGAGTGTCAGCAGCATAAAAGAAGATCCTCAGCAAGAGGGAGTGACATTCAGTGACTGCAGCAATGCATCCAAGCACAGCAATGCCCCTGAGGATGGCGTAGACCCTGCCAGTGTTGCTCTCTGTTGTGCGCAGGGGTGGTATAAGTCGGAACTGGCAGATGGCACCTAACAACTATAATTTGAATATCGATTCCATGTTATTGAAGACTATAAAGTGAACAACAAACCAAACCAACAAACCCACTGTCATCAATCCAATTCCTATAGGGCATAAAGACCCTATAGGATAGATCAGAATTGCCTCATAGGGTTTTCAGCCCACTCCACGCCCCTTCAAAAAAAAAACAAACCCTCACTGCCATGGTTGACTTATAGCGACCACTTGTGGGTTTCCAAGACTGTAACTGTTTTCAGGAGTAGAAAGCCCAGTCTTTCTCCATGGGAGCTACTGGTGCTTTCGAATTGGTAACCATGTGGATTGCAGCCCAACATCTAACCACTGCACCACCAGGGCTTCTCTGGATTTCCAAAGTTGTACATATTTACAGAAACAGACTGTCACACCTTTCTCCTGTGAACCAACTGGTGGGGTAGGAACTGACAACTTTTGTTTAGTGGTTGAGTGCTTTAGTCATGCTGTTACCAGGGCTCTACCCACTCCTACGATCAAATTGATGCAAACCCACGTCAACACCATGTAGGGTTTCTGAGACGGTGAATTTTTTATGGGAGCAGAGTTTCATCTTTCTTTCTCGGAGCAACTTGGGTTTGAAGGTTTGAACCACTGACCTCATTGTTAGCAGCTACACACGTATCCCACAATCCTACCGGGGATCCTTTACGTGAGGGGTTTAATTGAATTTTTCCTTATCAATTATGATTGCTGAATATAAACTCCCCATAGTAACAGCACACACTGTCTAATAAACATAACTTTTAAAAGGCCAAACACAAAATGACCAAAACTTCTTCACTTTTAAAAATAATATCTCACGAAAACAGCAAGCAACTTGAATTAGAGAGTTCGGCCTTCCAATTCTGCAGACCTACCAAAGAGGGAGCTCTGCCATTCTCTGAGTGCTTGATGGGGGGTTCAGCCTCACAAGGAATGAGCACAACGGCTCTCACAGAAACTTACAGAAATTCTATTCCATCAGAGTGTACTTGTCCTCATTTCCAAATTAACATCCCAGGCTTTGTGACAATTAAATGGGCTAAAGTAAACCAAGCTATCGGGAACTAACACGTAAACAAATCCACTCATTAAATGTCTGCATGATTTTGGTCCCTCATTTTCCATTGCTCAGTTTGAAGCAAGACCATTTACCGAAATGCCAGAGTTAGTTTAATAAAATTTGTTTGAGAATTCAAATTCAAATGACTTCCAAGTTCAGACCCCTAGAGTGTCTACGGTCCTCGGTGTTCCAATAATGTGTTGTGTTCCTCTTCATTTAGTCTCTGCATAATGAATAATGACCATCAGAATCCACTGTCAGGTTTGCCATTATCACTGGGCATAAAGAGCCAGCAGTCTATCCTGTTGGGTTCTCTTTGTGTTATTAAACTTTTAAAACTCAACTGCTGCATATTGATTTTCCTCATCATTTGTGTAAACCAGATAATGCTGGGTATCTCAGATGTTCACTTGGTTTGTCATAGGCCATCTTGGCCTTTTAAAACAAACCCACACTACTTTGATTTTTTTTTTAAACTTCTAGAATGGGCATTACATCATGGCAAACTATTCTGTTAGCCCTAGTGATTTGTTTAAGAAGCTCTGTTGCGGCTGTCGGATAGGCATGAACCTGCTAGCCATAAGGTTAGCAGTTCAAACCAGCAACTGCTCCTCTGCTGGAGACCGGTAAGGCTGTACCTGTGAAGGTCAACAGTCTTGCAAACCACCCTCAGGAGTCTCCTCGCCCTTAAGGTGCGGGCTGACTTGATGGCAGTGGGTTTGGTTTTGAGCGGTTTATTGATTTGCGTGTCGTCCCCAAGACTGGGGCATCCAGAGACACAAGCCAGCAAGCCAGCAGGCAGACAGACATCTGCCCTTCAGGAGCGCACCATCAGCCCCTCTTCCTCCGCAGATACACGCACATCTGAACACCCTACGGAACTTGTCCTCAGTGCTAACCCAGCTCTGTCGCTAGGGTGTTCGGTGGTGTCGTGGACAGCGTGCTGACAACTGAAAACGATGTGCTCCGGGGAGCACCATGGAGGTGCTAAGAGGGAAAATACGTTCCCTGGCTGGGAATTTCTCGAATAGAGAGATCGGGTGAGAGGGTTGTGTAGGGGTTGGGGAATTTCCCCCCCTCCCCCTCCGCACCGAGTCGGAGGCCGAGCGGACGGTGTCTGCCGCGCAGGCTTTGGGATTTACCTCTTCCGCCACTGGGCGGCCCTCTGCGTTCCCCTTTCCCTGGTGCCTGGCGGCAATTACTCACTCGTGCAGTGGCACCCGCCTTCCACCAGGGAGCCTCGAATCGGCTCTCCCGCCCTCCCCCTCGCCCCCCCGCCCCCCCATCTGCAGCTCGCTGGCTCTCTCTTTCTCCCTCTGTCTCCCTCTCCCTCTCTCTCCCTCTCCTATCGGAGCACAATGAAAGCCTGTGTATCGCCGTGACTCCGGCAGCGGAGCCAGTGTCAGCAAAGCGGCTAACAACAGACCAGAAAGAGAAAGGAAAATACAAGCGACTTTTTTTTTTCCTCTCCCATCTATAAAGCGGAGCATTACGAGATAGAAGCACATTGCTTATTGCGAGTCCAGACCCCCAGATCCACTGGCCGGGCATGGAGTGTACAAAAGTGGACAGAAAAGTGGCTGGACATGACTCGGTGCAATTTGCTGGAAGTTTGTAAGTTTGACCATCGTTTATAAATTACTCTCGGGAGAGTTTGCCTCTCTTGATACTGGGTGAGAATAGAGCCGGCGGGGTGGGTGAGGACTAGAAACGTAAGTGGGATAGAAAAAAATGTGGTGACGGAGCATTCTCGCAGTGGTTTGCGACTTCAGATTGCTTTCATTTAAAGCTAGGAAACGTTAGAGGGATTGAGGGGTTTGCCGGTGATTGGATTAGCTGAAGAAAAGAGCGTGGTCCACAAGCCCAATTACTGACACTGCTAACAATCGAAAACGCTGCCCCCCACCCTCCCCGGGAGAAGACAGACCGACGTCCACGGTGCCCCCTACGAGGAGAAAGCCGGGGCGGAGAGGAAAATGAAAAGCCCACAGACGGCTTCCTTTGCCTCTTGCACGTTTTGAACATTGACTTCGAAAATCTTCTGAAACAGCACTTTGAAAAAAGAAAAAGATTAAACCCGAGAACAAGTCAAGGCTGTGGGGTTTACACAGACCGCGGTAGAAATGGATTTCTCCGCAAAGACAGCCCCATAAAGAATTTCTTTTTTCCCCAAACAAGTAGGCGAGGGGGGGGTCCAGCTCCCATGAATACCTCTGGCGATTCCCTTTGCGGTCTGTTTCTGCCTCTCCCTGGACAACCCCTGAATTCTTGATCTGCCCCCCAGATCGAATGCTTACAAAGTACCTAGTGGCTCTTGTCAACTTGGGGGTGGGGAGGGTGGGAGAGGGTAAAATCCACGAACTCTACCCAACTTCTCCAGAGCTGTCAAATGCAATTAGAGTAAGTTGGATAGGGGCTTGTTTCCAACTTAACCTCTCCAATTGGTTTCTATTCTTTCTCCCCACTCTCTTTTTACTAGCTCCCCTCCCCAAAACCTTCTCCACCAGCCCCCCAACCTCTGAAGACCTCTATTCATGTGGCCCTGAACATTGAGCTCACATTGGCAAAAACAGATTTGCTGGTAATAGACAACAATATCCTCCTTCCACCTCACCGCCCTAAAGGCAGCAATCCTTGTGTCCAGGAACATGGGGGACACAGCGCCCCCACAGGCCCCTGCCGGAGGGCTAGGAGGGGCCCCCGGGGCGGGACTCCTTGGAGGGGGCTCAGTCACCCCTAGAGTGCACAGTGCCATTGTGGAACGCCTCCGGGCTCGGATAGCCGTCTGCCGCCAGCATCACCGGAGTTGTGAAGGACGCTATGAACGGGGTCGGGCCGAGAGCTCAGACCGGGAACGGGAGAGCACCTTGCAGCTCCTGAGCCTTGTCCAGCATGGCCAGGGAGCAAGGAAGGCTGGCAAACACACTAAGGCCACCACCACTGCTGCCACCACCACAGCCCCTCCACCGCCCCCTGCTGCCCCACCTCCAGCTTCTCAAGCAGCAGCAACAGCAGCGCCACAGCCCCCACCAGACTACCACCATCACCACCTGCTGAACAGTAGCAATAATGGTGGCGGTGGTGGGATCAACGGAGAGCAACAGCCACCGGCTTCAACCTCGGGGGACCAGAGGAACTCCGCCCTGATTGCGGTAAGGCACCTGGTTTTCTCTCTTTTTGTGAGGGCAGAGCTTGCCTTGGCCTAACTTAAGTAGATGGCTGTAGAAGGGGCCATGCGGCCATTGGCTGTGTTGGTTATGCTATGTTGGATTCTTCCTCATCAGGTACCTCTTGGCTCCTTCTTGGGCGTTCCTCCACAGACAGGACACTCCTGAACTGGTGGGGACCCTGAGTTTTTCCCAGCGGTGCGCTGGGGCCCGGGGCATGTAGAAGAGATGAAGGATACCAGTGGTCTTGCTTTGACTAGCCAGCTTTGATGAGGCCCAACAAGCCAGTCAGCAGCTTGAAAGCCTTTTATCAGTTCGGCTGACCTTTAGCAAAACCTTTTCTGTCTTGCTCCGTTCCTCCTGCCCTGTGAAGCAGGCCCACTTCTTGAGGTCAAGAGACTACATACAAATGGTGATCTAGCGCACAAAGTGATTCCCTGAGAGTTTTCTCAGTCCAAAAGAAGTGTGTGTGTGTGTGTGTGTGTGTGTGTGTGTGTGTGTGTGTGTAGGGGAATCACTTGAAAGATGGACCGGCGAGGACATATTTTGAAGAGACCCACCCCTTGGATGCCTATAGACGGTCTTGCCCCTTCTTCCCATCGAGCTTTTCATTACAGACACTCCAAGCTGGGAGTGCTGAGAGCATTTTTTCAAGTGAGCAATTGGCAGCCAGGGTCTACTGACATAGATGGCATCCTGGGAAGGACCTCATCTACAGCCATTCCTGGTGACAGGATATCAAACCCAAAAGTTCTGATTAAGTTGCTCTGAGGTATAGACATGCCCCATCCCACAGGGAGGATCCCTTGAATCACTGGCTCCTGGTGCCAGCTCCCCCAGTCAGGTGACAGCCTGCCCTGTGCAGGCTTCCCCCGAAACTGCTGGACCAGTGGCCTCTGGGTAGAAGGTGGAGCCCTACTCTGCAGCCCAGCAAGCTTCCTCCATTGCTAAGCTCTGCAGGGTCTGGGACGTTCTGCCTCTGCTGCCAGCACAGCCTCCGTTTATCCAAACCAGCCTTCCTAAGGGGCAGTGGCAGGAAAGGGCCGTGCAATCCCCAAAGTATTCAAAACAGCGAAAGGAGAGAAGGCCAGGCGCTGGCCGTACTCCTTATCCACAGGAGCCGGAAAGTGAGTTCTTACAGGAGGCATCCTCCAGCCAGGTCCACTGGAGCCGTCTTTCTGGACCCCCTGGCCCCTGGCTTGGATCTGTGGAGATGGTTTCCAGGAAGCCCCCAAGGCTAGGATGCTGCTCTTCTCGACCACCATACACACATTTGCATGGGATATCCAGGATAGCAACTTCCAACGCCAGCTTCCGATGAGGAATTACTGCTCATGGTGGAGTTGACCAGCGTGTCTATGAGAGTTTTATCCCTGAATCCCATTTGAGTAGCTCTTGACGGTCTAGTTTTCTTTTTCTATCACCTGCTTTCTCCCCACCTCTCCCTGGAATTCGCTGGGAGAGCAGTTGAAGTAAGTTCAGTGAAAAAGAGATGCTGGAGTGAAAGGGGGGGGGGGGCGAGTGTGTGCGGTAAAGAATTGCTGGAATAGAGAGAAGAATGGGGTTTGTGTGTGTGTGTGTGTCACCAGCATCTGCAGCCAAAAGTATCTAAATGCCTTGATTGTCCCCAGTAAATTTATAATCTGTCTGCAAGTCTCCTAATAATACGGCTTTGTGTGTTTCACAGTCTCCTGGTAAGTGTTTCTGGGGATGATACACAGAATGAGGCAACCAGTCCAAACCCGAGTGGAAAAGATTAATCTCCACCTCTGTGCCAAGACTGGACGGGCAGTTAAAGGACCAAAGTGAGCTTGTCCTGTCACTTCACCTCCCAGCCTCTGCCCAGCACCAGGGTGGCATGGCTGCTTAGGCTCTCACCTTTTGGGTTTGGCGTTTGCTCCAGCCAGTTTGGGAACACAAATGAGATGGCCTCTTTTTGCTGGGGGGCAGATTTCAGCATGTAAAATGAAACCAATGTCAGTGACTGTGAGACTTGAACAATAGCACTATCCAGGCGGAGAGGGGAGGGAGCGAATGAACGACTTCTGGGCCTTCCCAACTTGTAAAGGCTTATTGCCGCGGAAGCCGGAGGGGTGACTGCCTTGCCACCCCTGTTCTCAGAGGGGATCTGTTTTCTCCCTGCTAACCACCAGCCCTCTCTCGAAGCACTCCCAAGGAGAAGTACCTTCTCCTTCATAGTGATGGCGAGAGGAGAGCACTAGGAGGGAGAACGAGTTCTTTCTAATGGTTGCTTTTCACTGTACACGTGCGGCTGTGCAAGGGTTGCCTCCCCCTTACACACACACACACACACACACACACACACCCTCTTGGCTATTGGAAATTCCCTCTCCATTTTAGCTTCTAAATTTGGAGCTTTGTTACTTACTATCGTACTCGGAGATGCTGATGCCAGTACTGTATGAACCTGATAGCATTGTGTCCGAAGGGGGCCCTGGGCATTGGGGAATGATTCACCCAGGCGATTACATCGCAGGTCTCACTTCTCTCAGGCTCCTCGCATTTTTAGAGACACGATTCATTTTCAAAGGGCCTGTGTTCAGAATAAGTGTCAGGATTCTTCTTTCATTTGACTGCTGTTGGGTCCATAGCCAGATTTATGTGGTCTGAGTGAGTTGAATGTACTATGTGGCCATTAATGTTCTTCAGAGAAAGGGAGAGAATATTGATCATCTAAAATCAAATACTTATCAGTGTACATGATGAAAGCGCTATACCCTTTGTGCCTCGGTGCAATGCTTTGTCCGTATTGGGTAATATTGACTGGAAGAATGAATGAGCTGAAAGGAGGACTTGTGTTGAGACACTGTGGCCTTCGAGGCAATTTTATAACAACGGCATATGATGCCCGAGTTCTTTTGACAGGCCAAGTTTTAAGAACAATGCAAGAATAACCTCTGAGCCAGATCTAATTCTGTCCACATTAAGAGCCTAATTCTGAAATCCTTACACAGCCAGTTTCTTCATTTAGCTCAAGTATAAGTTCGGGGGGAAGCCCCACTGCAGAGATGCCAGGAATAAGGCCTTTCAGAGGGCACAAGATCATGGGGCTTTGAGCTGATGCTGCCCATCTAACCACTCTGATCAAGCTTCATGCTCCACATCATTTTCTGGTGACGTATGTTGAACTGTGAAACAGAATAATGACCGGTCCCTGGAAAAGTAAGGCTTAGAGCCTCCCTAAAGCGTTGCCAATCTTTACCCATTGCCTGGGACAAGTACTTTTCTGTTGTGTGGCCTGTGCTGCTAGGGTGCATAGGTGAGTGGTTCCCAGTTGTCTTTGGCTTTAGAGATGATCTGTTTTTCTAACGTGGTGTTGAGGAAAGCAAACAGAGCAGACAAAGAGTCTCCATCCCAGTTCTCTGCCTCCTTGGTCACTCACCAGCCCTGTGACCCAGGACAAGTCGTTTGACAGCCAGCTGTAAAACTGCGAGGACTGTATTGCTGGTGGAGAGAAACAGAAGAGCATGCACTTCCAAAGAGGCTGGCAAACAAGCTAAAACACTGCAGGCATGAAAGACATTATTAGTAGTATCGCTAACAATAAACTACTAAACAATG